ACGGCGCGGCGGCGCTCCAGACTCCATGCCAGCAAGCATCCTTGGCCGCCCGCTGCTGCGTCGCCAGGACGCTTGCCGCTCAGTGGTGCTCCTGCACGGCCAGCCCCAGGGTCGTCTGGCCATCAGCCTAAAGGAGGTACTCATTCAAGGGCCCCCGCGACGTCACGTTGGTGGTGGCCAGGCAGCAGCATAGGCGCGCGCGCGCGCCCACGCGGCCCCGAGGTGAGCCTGCAGTTCCTGGCCTCTGGCCAAGCATGGCTGGGGCCCGCGGGAGGGCGGCGCCGTCCCGCGGCTGGGGGGGCGGCGCGAGCGGGGGGCTCGAGCTCCGCCCAGGGCGCACAGGACCGGCTGCAGCGCCTACCGAGGCAGGGTCTCGGTGCCTGCAGCCTTCCTGGCAGACGGGGCGGCCGAGTTCCTCGAAGATCTGGTCGCCCCCTTCCAACGAGTCGCCGATGGTGGAGTCCGTGTGCGGGGGGGAGGCTGCGACTTCGAGGGGCTGAATCCCTCCGCCCCCCCCCCTGGGCCGTACCCTGAGGCTGACACCCGTGGTTGCCAGTTGGGAGACCCACCCTGGTCAACCGCCTCTGACATCCGGGGGCCGTACCCTTGATGGCCGGTCACCCCCTTCAGCCCAGAGTGGGTCTGAAAATCCGCCCCCCCAGCGAGAGCACCTCCAGGAAGGTCATGCAGTCCGTAGTCCGAGGCCGACCCCTGCAGCTCCTCCGTGCACAGCAGCCCCAGCGCCGCGCCACCAGCGGCCGCTGCCGCTCCGCGCCCTGGCCGCGTCTGACCCTCTTGGCTTGGGCAGCCGTCAGCTCCCCAGTAGTCGCAGACTCCCAAGGCACGGGAAGCCTGCTCGTCGGCCTCGTACAACTCGTTGTAGTCGGCCACCCCATTGCCACTGCTGCCCGCCATGGCTCCTGCACGGCCCTCAGGCCGAAGTGCGCGCCCGCTTGGGCGGCAGCAGGTCCAAGTCGGCGTAGAACCGCTTGAAGGCTCCACGCACCTCATCGTCAGCAGGACGATCAGTGCCCTCAGCCCCAGCTGTGGCGGCCCCCACCTTCGTGAGGAAGTTGAGCTGCGTGTCGTGATCTGGTCCGCGAGGCACTTGAGCTGCACGTCCTTGGGCTTAGCCTGGAAGACCTCCTGGCGCAGCTGATCGCGCTCCGCCTCGAGCTTGGCCTTCCTGCTGCGGGTGGCCTCCACGAAGTCGCCCCCCTCGTCCTCCATGTCCGCCCAGCGCCGAATCTCGCCCAGCTGCTTGTCCAGCTGCTCCAAGCGCTGGCGCTTCTCGCCCCCCGCCGCTGCGTCCTCACGCCAGGGGGGCGCGCCTCCTCCAGGCGCGGAGCTCCCTCCCGCCCCAGGCTGGGCCGCCGCCGCCTTGAGCTTCTTGAGCTCGTCCAGCGCCTGGGCGAGCTTGACCTCGGCGTTGTTCCGCGAGGGCGCAGCCTGCGCCGGCTTCCCACCGAAGTGGGAACTCTTCGGCATGTTGCACCACTTACACTGCATGCGGTCCCCGAAGTTGAGCTTCCTGAAGCCCCTGGCGTCAGGCGTACTGCAAGACTTGCAGTACCAGGGGCTCTTGGCAGCTGCCTTGGCCGCTGCCCCTGACTCCCCACTGCGGGGCCCGCCGCCAGGCCCCCCTGACTTCCCTGACTTGCCGCTGCCGCCTCCGCCGCGCGCCCCGCCGCCAGAGCTGCCCCCAGCCATGGCGCCCCCAGCACAGCAAGGAGACCCAAAGCGGCCGCCGCCCGCCGCGGCCGTGAGCGTTGGCAGAGAAATTGCAAAGAGTCCTGGCCCAAAGCGCGAGACCCCTCGCGCTTAGGAAACGCCCGCGAGGGACTCGCGGCCGTCGGGTGTCTCATGGCCTTGAGCCAAAATGGCTACGGAACTCTCTTTCTCTCTCTCTCTCTCTCTCTCTTTTTTTCTCTCTCTCTCTCTCTCTCTCTCTCTCTCTCTCCTCTCTCTCTCTCTATATATATATATATATATATGTATAGTATCTCTCTCTTTCGCTCGCTCTCTCTCTCTCTCTTTCTCTCTCTCTCTCTCTCTCTCTCTCTCTCTCTATTGCTTGATGCTTTGTAGCAATCGACTCGGCAACTAATTCAGTTTGAGGCGCGTCCATACAACCTCCACGCACAAGGAAATTATTATAATGGCCACGCATGTCCGCTTGGATGACGGCATGGGGTTATCGTGCGCGCAAGTTTGTTGGAAAACGTTTCTACCCAGTGCTTCAGCGATCCATCACTACATCGGCCAAACCATTACACAACCGATTGTGAACGCGTGGGAACCACTGCACCAGGTCCTGATACACCCCAGGGGCTTCCACCCGTTGCACATGTGATGCAGCATGCTGTCTAACACCCCGAGAAACAAAACAACAGGGTCGCTCCATGCAGTTTGGCACGGTTGCACACCACATGCCGCGCAGACTTCGATGGCATAGATGATAGCCCTGTCTTTGAAGATATCCACCAAGTCGTGTGCGCGAGTGTGTCCTTCAGTTCGCCTGCTCTCAGTCCGCTCCCTTTGGGCACTAGGCTTAGGTCGGGCGTGTCCCCCTACAGGCGGATTTTGGGCGAACCATTCTGCTTTTTGGTTTTTGAATGTGTACATATATATAGAAATAAATAACCCACCAAAAAAACAACAACAACAACAACAAAAACGGCCCAAACATAGCCAAAAATGATCAAAGCATCGTCCTCACATTACATTTTATTATTTTTGAATTTCCCTCCTGTAGAGGGACACGCCCGACACAACACCAGGTCGGTCCTCTCCTGCGCCTGCCTGCCTCTTTGCTCTCCTCGGTCGGCTCGGCTGCTCGCCCAGGAGCTCAACACGCTGGTCGTTCCCCCAGAAGGCCACTCGACCACCAAAAACTTGGAGCATCCCCCTCCTCTTTCTCCTCCTCCTCCTCCTCCTCCTCCTCCTCCTCCCCGAGTCGACTCCGATTGGCTCCCACGTCGATCACGAGAAACCGCATGTATCGGGCATGAAATGTCCTTGCCCCGTTGGCGAGTGGACCGCCATCAGCGTCGAGCACGTCCTTCTCGCGACGGGTTTCCGCGAAGAATGCGGCCGAGGCAACGACATGCATGGGGACTTGTAACTGTGCAATCTTGGTCATCCAACCCTTGATGCGCCCAGCAGTTGCCCTTGAGGGTTCCAAGACAGCGTGGTGACGAACCGCGCGCGGTGACCTAGAAATCCCAGAGGGCCTCACCGCACGGTCCGCCACCGCACGTTAATGGAAACTTGGGAATGCCAAATGCCCGGTACATCCTCGGAGAACGACCCACGTCCCAAAACCGTGCGGCCACCCCGACTTCCCACCTGCTCTCCACACGGCGTAGTCTCCGCGCAGCTCGGGGTCCTCCGACGCACGCAAGCGGCGAGAATCTCTCCGGGTCCTCCCTGAATCTGGCTGATCCGCTCCAACTCCCGCGCTCGGGACTTCTGCAGAAATTGACCTGCCGGGTACCGAGATGCTGCGCTTTGCACAAGGGCCTCGGAGCTTCGCCCATGGACATCCCCTCTTACAAGTCGCGAAAAGTCGGCACACTAACGCGCACACGCCCACCACAACTGTCCGCCCCCAGAAGCGAGATGAAATGTACGCCACCACGACGACCGTCTCCCGCTCCTCCTGCTGCTCCTCCGCCCCCATCCCCAGAAAGGAACTAAAAGACTTGTCGGACGCCTGGCGCAGCACAACTTTCAGAGAGCGGGGAAAACGAGGCGGAGGGAAGGAGGTACACAGGCGAAGCAGCTTCTCCGAGGGCCTGACGGCCCGTGATTGGCGATGCCACTGTACCCAGCCTCGGCGCCACTGGGGACCGCCTGAGCTGATCGTGATGTTCCTGTTCCACGGAGACTGGGCGCAACCGTGCAGCCCAGTCGCCTGGCAGCGCGGGCTGCGGAGCAAGCCCAGCCGAGCCGCCCGAGCTGGGCACCAGCCGCGTGCTGCGGCGCCCGCGTGCGGGGTGCACGCGCGCGCGGCCGCAGAGGCCGAGGCAGGGGCCGCCGAGGCCACCCCGAGGGCGCCCCGCGCGCGGCCGCTGGAGCGGCCGCGGAGGCCGCGGGGCGGGCCGCGGGAGCTCCTGCGGGCGGGGCGGGAGCGCGGTGAGCGCACCTCCGCCCTGCCCGCCGGCGTTGTGCGCGGCCCGAGCGTGCGACGGGGCGCCCACTTGGGCCGCGGGGCCAGGGCCGATCCAGCGGGAGCGCCCTTGCGGTGACAAGAGAGGGCAGGGGAAGCAGGAGGAGGAGGAGGAGGAGGAGGAGGAGGAGGAGGAGGAGGAGGGGGAGCAGGAGGAGGAGGAGAGGAGGAGGAGGAGGAGGAGGAGGAGGAGGAGGAGGAGGAGGAGGAGGAGGAGGAGGGGAGCAGGAGGAGGGGGAGGAGGAGGAGGAGGAGGAGGAGAGGGAGGAGGAGGAGGAGGAGGAGGAGGAGGAGGGGAGCAGGAGGAGGAGGAGGAGGAGGAGGAGGAGGAGGAGGAGGAGGAGGATGAGGAGGAGAGGAGGGGGGAGCCGGAGGAGGAGGAGGAGGAGGAGGAGGAGGAGGGGAGGAGGAGGAGGAGGAGCGCGGCGGGAGGGCCTGGGGAGAGCAGCAGGAAGGGAGGGGACGAGCGGGAGGAGGGGGGAGGTTTGGCGGCGCGCAGAAGGGGGTGGAGGGAGGGGGGAAGGCTTCTTAGAAGGAGGCTGTTTCTTAGAAGGCGGCGGCCTTACATCTATACATAAGGACCGCGCCTTCTAAGAAGCAGGGGTGCTTCTAAGAAGTCTTCCCCCCTCCCCCTACCCCCCCCCCTGCGCGTGGCCGAGAGGTGGTGGGAGGGGCAGGGCGGAAGAGAAGAAGGGAAGAGGCTGCGCGAGAGGACGAGGGGACCAGAGGCCGAAGAGGGGGGGACGCAGCGACGCACGGGTCCGCCGAGATCCCTGGAGGTGCCTGGAGGTGTGCAGGGGTCTCTGCAGGCAGCCGGATGTCTTCCGGGGTCGGGGCCTCCAGAGGCCCCCAGAGGCTGGAGCAAAAAACATCGAACACGAAAACGACTCCCAAGCGCCAGCTGCGAGGACGAGGTGTACGGTGGCGGTAGAAACGGCTGAGAAGTGCCGAGGACGAGACCAACGGGCGCCTGCACCTTGGCTTTCGCTCTGCTCCTCTTCCTGGGCGCGACGTAGCCCGCGGCGCGTACCTCAGCGCGTCTTCTCGTTCCACTCTTCCTCTCCACTCAAAACTATGTGACTCGTCCCTCCTCCTTTCGACTTCTCACTCTGGCCTCCCCATCCGCACTCCCTCCCCATCCTCCCTCCTCCTCCTCCTCCTCCTCCTCCTCAACCTCCTACTCCTCCTCCTCCTCCTCCTCTCCTCCTCCTCCTCCTCCTCCTCCTCCTCCTCCTCCTCCTCCTCCTCCTCCTCCTCCTCCTCCTCCTCCGTCCCAGGTCTTTATAAATAAGCCCTCACTGTCGCACCCACAGACGTCTCGGTCGGGCGGACCAGGCGTTTCGCCCGAGACTTCCCCACCAGTCATGATCTTGAAGCTTGAACACTGCAACAGCTCACTGATAGAGGGATGTCGTTTTCACAGTGTGGCTCTCGCCGTCGCGCCGCGCACGTTCGTCTGAAAAACATGCAGCAGCTTCAAGGATGGAGGGCGGCGGGTGGTGTTTCAAAGTGGGCGTGCCGCCTTAGCGCCGCACGCATTCGTTTTACAGGGTTGCAACAGCTTCATGTATAGAAGGCGGTTCATTCCAACATGTAGCTCTCGCCTCAGCGCCACACCTATTCGTCTTAAACGTTTGCAACAACCGAATGGTATAAGGATTTGTATGGCTGAAATCCCAGGGATGGCTTTCTGGCACGACTTAGAACAGTCAGGATGCAGCAGTCACGGTGATTCGCGGCGCTGAATTCCAAGGAACTGCGTTCTGACACGATTGATTACTGTCAGGACTTAACAGTCACGATAAGCCGCGGAGTCGAAATCCCAGGGATTGCGTTGCGGCACGGTTGAGGATTCTCAGACGTCTGTCTTCTCACGGGACACTTCCAGCAATGAAAACAGCTTCTTGTAAAAACATATGCAGACGGAGCATGGAGGGAGGATGTCTTGCAACGTCGTTGATACGTCTTAGGTTTACACTGGCCCGTCTGCTCCCCCTCCTCCTCCTCCTCCTCCTCCTCCTCCTCCTCTGCCTCCTGCTTCTCTGCCACCTCCCTCCTCCTTCCCTCCTCCTCATCCTCTCAACCTCCTCCTTTTCCGCGTCATCGAATTCCTGTCCCCTCCCCCTTTGCCTCCTCCCCTTCTCCTCCTCCTCCTCCTCCTCCTCCTCCTCCTCCTCCTCCTCATCCTCCTCCTCCTCCTCTTCCTTCTCCTCATCCGCCTCCTCCTCCTCCTCATCATCATCATCATCACCACTACCACAAGTATCAGCATCGTCGCCATCATCGTCATCATCACCACCATCATAATCATCATCGCCATCCCTCCTCTCCTTCCAGCTTCTCCCTCGACCCCATTATCTGGCCGTCTCCTGGAAGGCGTCTTGAACGGAAGGACGTGGGAAATCGGGCCGTGGCGACGAGGAGCCGACAGGAGACCAACCTCAAGAAAGAACAAGAACATCCAAAAACATCGATCCTCAAACCTCGATCTTCGAACCTCGATCCTCCTCCCCGCCCCTACCCCACCCCTGCTCTGCAATGGCGCCGCGCGCGTTTCTCAAAAGTGACGGGAGGGATCCCTGTTGGAGCTCCCGATCATTTCCAGCTCTCGTGCGGAATTCCCTCCCTGTTGGAGCTCCGCACGAATTTCTTGGATCGGCGCCGGGGCCCCCCAGCGGCGCCTCTGGCGCCCCCCTGGCGCGCGCGCCGCGCGCTAGGGAATGGGGTCAAGAGCCGATCCAAGCAATCCGCGCGGAGCTCAAAAGTCTCAGTGTATGCCTCTATGTTCTCCGAGCGAAGGCATCCCGCACGCGGCAGCCCTGGAGAAACCGCCGCCGAGGCCATCGAAGGCTCCAAAAATGCCACGGCCACAGGGACAGCTCCGAAAGAGACGGGCCTCTGGGCACGGGCCCCCGCGGGCAGGACCGACGCAGGCCGGCCGCGGGGACCTCCTCGGCGGTGGCCCCCAGACGCCTGTCGTGTCGCATGGCAGCCCTCACGCCGCCCGCGCCAGGAGCGGATCACTGGGGTGAAGGCAGGCCCCATCGCTCCAAACCGTACGGCACGGCGTCTCCAGAAGAGGTGCGGCCTGGGCGGGAGTTGCGGGTCTTCTCTCCCAGCGGCCTCTGCGAGTGCAGCGGGAGGCGGGGGCATCGCGAGGAGCCCCGTAGTCGCGACCCCGGCCCGCAGCAGCTGCCGCAACGCCGCGGCGTCCACCGGCAACGGCTCGGGCCGTGGCGCCGCAGCGAGCGCGGCGCGGCGAGGCCCCTCCCACTCTGGGCACAGCCAGGGGCGATGCTCAGGGGCTTCGGGCGCCCGCCCGCAGTACACACAGCACCGTGGGGTCCAGCAGTGGAAGCCAAACCTTCAGCCACCACCACTACATCCACCACCACCACCACCACCACTATATCTGCCTCGAGAACTCGAGGGTAGCCTCCACTGAGAATAGGCAAGCAGTTCACAATGGTGATGTGGGCTGCCCTGGTGGAGCGAGAAGTCAATAGACCATTACCTTTGAACGGCACGGAGACCTTTTTTCTGAATGGCCTCGGACAGCACGGTTGAAGGAACCGCCACGATCCTGGCCTTTACTGCTGTATCATGACCATCACCATCGTCATACTCATGCGCATAATCCTCACCACCATCATCACAGCGACCATCATCATAATTACCATCATCGTCATCACCACCATCACCAGCATCACAAGCGTCATCACCATCGCATCATAGTCACCAAAATCATCATCAACATCATGATCCTCACCACCATCGTCATCAGGATCCGCATCTCCACTATCATCAGTACCCTCATCATCACCAGCATCGGAATCGCCATCACCATCACCATCATCATCACTATTACCATCACTGTCACCATGACTATGATGTCCCTCCTCCTCCTCCTCCTCCTCCTCATCATCATCATCATCAGAATCGTCATCATCATCATCATCATCATCATCATCATCATCATCATCATCATCATCATCATCATCATCATCATCATCACCATCATCATAGTCATCCTCATCATCAGCATCAGCAGCAGCAGCATCATCGTCACCATCACCTTCATATTCATCATCGTTATCACCCGACTCGGCATCATCATAAACATCATCAGCAGAAACATCACCAGCATCATCATCGTATTCGTCATCATCATCACCATCAGCATCAACGGTATCATCTTTATCACCAGCATCAGCATAATCATTATCAGCATCAGCAGCAGCATTATCATCAGCGTAGTCGTCATGATCATCATCATCATCATCATATTCATCACCATTAGCATCAGCAAAATCATCATCGTAATCAGTACCAACATCATCATCATAATCATCATCACCATGCTCATCAATATCGTCGCCATCGTCATCACTAGTGTTAACCATGATTACCCTAGTCTCATATCATCATCATCATCATCATCATCATCATAATCATCATCATCATCATCATCATCACCATCACCATCACCATCATCACCATCACCATCATCATCATCATCATCAGCATCATCATCATCATCATCATCATCATCATCATCATCATCATCATCATCATCATCATCATCATCATAGTCATGATCGTCATCGCCACTGTCTTCCTCTTCCTCTTCCTCCTGCTCCTCCTCCTCCCCCTTCTGGGCCGCGGGCGCCCTGTCTATGAGCTCGTCCTTGCTCGGCGGCGGCGGGGGCAGCGTGCCGCCCGCCACCTGCTGCTGGGGCGGCCCCGGCAGGTGCGGCACCTGCACGGCAGACTGCTCTGAGGTCTCTTGGGACACGGGATCCCCGTGCCCTTCCACATCATCGCCACCCCCCTGCTGCTCCTCCTCCTCGCTCTCTTTCTTCACCTCCTCCGCCGCCTCGGCGTCGTCTTCCACCCCCCGTCCTCCCGCGTCTCCTCCGCCTCCCCATTCCTCCACCTCGTCGTGGTCAGGGTCGCCTGCTTCGGGGTCGGCGGCACCGGCCGTAAGGCCTTCGCAGTATGGGAGTGCGTGAAACTCGGTCTGGCCGTAAGGCCTTCGCAACACGGGAGTGCGTGAAATTCGGTCGTGCGTCATTCGAGGAAGCATAAAGCGGGTGCCAGCTTGAAGAAGCATCGCCCTCGACCCGTGCGGTGGCTGCACCTGTTGCACCCTCTGGCGCGCGAGATCCCCATGCGGAAAGGAAGCCGCCCTGCGTCACTGCAGTGGTTTTGCGCACGTTCCGTAGGCATGCGCGCGGCGCTGGGGCGCGAGCCCCACTCTGAAAAGGAGCCCCCCCCTCCAACCCCTTGCAGCTGCTGCACGTGTCTATAACGAGCGTGCGCGGCGCCAAGGCGTGCGTGCCAGACTGCTGCAGCTTCTCCAGACGGGCGGGCACTGCCGTCGGGCGCGCGCCGCACGCTGAAGACGACCCCGTGCAGCCACGCCCAGGGGGCAAACTTCTGAGACCAGCGTGCTCGGCGCTGAGGCGACAGCTCCATCCTCAAAAGAAGCCGCCTTATCTGGCCATCGCTCGGGCGTCCATTTCCTGTGTGTGTTTTTCGGTGTCGTGCGTGGCTTTTTTTCGTCAAGTGATCAAGGATGCTCCTCGATGGTCCTCGCCGAAGGAAAAACGCACACGTCCGAGCGATGCCAAGCCATAGTCCCAGTCTCGTCGCAGGTTTTCAGGCACGAGTGCGCGCGGCGCTGAGGGGAGTGTTCCATAACGAAGGCCGCATCTCGTCCAGTCGTGCGACTGCTGCAGGCTTAAGAGGCGAGTGCGTGCGCCGCTAAGGCGAGAGCTCCGTTCTGCAAGCGACCCCACCATCCATCCGCGCGGCTGTCTCGAATGCCATGCTTCGAGGCCGTAAGTTGTGAGGAAGGTATCCGGGCGAAGCGCCTGGGTCACCCTACTGGCACTTTTGGGGGTGCGGCGGCATGGAGACGCTGTGCGAAAGGAAAAGGGGGCGGAGGAGCAGGACTCGCCATCGCTTGGACGTCCATTCCCTGTGCTTTCTTCGGCTTCGTGCGCGGTTTTTTCGCCAAAGGATCAAGGATGCTCCTCGATGGCCCTCGCCGAGAAAAAAAAATGCACACGTCCGAGCGATGCCAAGAGGAGGCGGGAAGAGCGGGAGGAGGAGGGGGCGAGGGTGGCGTCGGGCCACGGGCGCTGGCCTCTAACCAGAGGCGCCAAACTGCAAAAGCGGCGCCGGCGTGCACGCGCCCGCGGAGCTCGTGCCGGCGGGGCCCAATCGCCTCTGAACTCACGGCGGTTTCACTCCAGGCCAAGGAGGAGGCGGCCAAGAAGAAGAGAAGGGCCAGAGGACGAGGGCGTGGAGGAGGAGGAGGAGGCGAGGTCGAGCGAAGGCCTCCAAGGACCAGGTCTGAGGGCGCCACTTGTCGAGGCACATTGCTTCACCTTACTTGTGCGGGAGGGCACTGCTCGAAGCAGCGGAAGATCCTCAAGAGGCTTGCGCCAGGGCTCCTGCCAGGAGTCGCCAGCAAGGCCTCGGCGACCCATCAGGCCCTTCGTGGGGGAGGGGAGGGGAGGTGGGAGCGCTACGCGGGCTGGCCATCGGAGCCTGATGTCGTGGCGCTTCGGGAAGAGGAGTCCTGAGGTCGAACCCAGGGGAAAAAGGCGAACCAGGAAATTCCGGAATGGCGAACCAGTCAAACTAAGAAACCGGACGGGCAAACCACGAAACCAGAAGGTCCACCCAGGAAACGTCACCCAGGCGAATCGGGAAACCGAAGCAGGCAGCCCTCCACCTTCAGAATTCGAATTCGGATGCAGATCCAGCTGCGGCGATGCGAACGCCCCAGAGCAAAACATACGAAAGCCTTCGTCCCCCGTTGCGACACACGAGGCGGGATACCGGGGGAGCACCGCCATACTTTGAGCCCAGCGGCCGCAGTATCAGGGTGTGCGAGGCGGGTCGGGAGCTGATCTTTTTTCCCACGCACTGCTCGCACTCAGGGGGTTCTCGCTTGCCTTCTAAGAAATCTCGGCGGTGGACAAACCTCCCTTTAGTAAACCTCACCTTAGCGAAAACGGCCTGGGGCCGAAACCGACGGACCTGGACCCGCAAAAATGACGGCCGCGACGCCCTCTCGCGAACCGAAAACAGCCAATTCCTCAATCGACGTGTCAGGGTAGGAGGTCTATCCACCTCCGATTCTAAGGTACCTGAGCCTGACGCACTGCTCGCACTCAGGGGATCTTGCTTGCCTTCTTTTTTTTTAGGGGGGAGCCAACATCGAGCGACAAGGCAGCGAAGGCCCGTGGCATCTTGCCTTCTAAGGTATCTGAGCCTTCTAAGCTACCTGAGCCTGACGCCACCCTGGGCGGCTCGTGGCCGCCCGCCGCCACCGCCGTCGCCGCTGGCCACCGGGCGCGAGTGCCAGCCTGGCCGGCTCGTGGCCGCTCGCCGCCGCCGCCGCCGCCGCAGGTCACTGAGCTTCGGTGACGTCCAGGCTGGCTCGCTGCGGCCCGTGACCGCCCGTCGCCGACGCCCCCGCCGCTGCCGGCATCAATGTTCAGCGTTTTGCACTGCGTTGCACTGTCTTGCCTTGCTCTGATCTGCATCGCACTGCGCCCTGCCTTCGTGGCAGTGTGCCGTGTTGCAGTGCTTTTTGCAGTGCTTCGCGGTGCTTCGCAGCGCTTCGCAGTGCTGTGCACCACAGAGATTGCGCCACATGGATTGCACCAGCGATTGCAAAAAAAAGATTGGTGTTTTTTGTTTTTGTTTTTTTTGCAATCTTTTGGTTTTTTTTTGTTTTTTTGTTTTTGCAATCGATCGCACAACAGCGATGGCACCACCTAGATTGCACAGCAGAGATTGCAAGAAAAATTACTGCTCGGGGCCCACGCTGGCGGACGTCTTGAAATCTAACAGCCCAGCCTCCTGGGTGGGAAGCAACACGTTTCCAGCCTCGAGCGTATCCCTGTCCCTAAGCTTGACACGCCAAAAGGCGACGACAATCTTAGGGATTCGCCCTCAAAACATAAGGGAAACCCTAAGATTGGCATCGTGACGAGGAGATGCCCAGCATAGGGATAGGGATATGCTCCAGGCTGGTACACACGACGACGACTTCTTGACGAAAGCTGGCGGGCAGGCGTGCGATCCCGCAGATCGGGCCGGCCACAACGTGCGGACCGCACGCGCCGCCTCCAACCGGGCGGGGGCGTGCGGGCAGGTCGTCGCGGGCAGATGGGGTGTGCGCACCCCCCCACAGGTGGATCGGGCGGGCAGACCCTCGCGGGCTGGTCGGGCGGACGGGCGACGGCGAGCGACAACGACTGAGGATGTCCAGACGGCAGATGGCGAGCCACGACGAACAACGACTGCGTCGACAAGCGACGGATACGCGCAACAAGCGGCAACGACGACGAGCGACGACGACAACGGCGACGACTCAGGACGATGATAACGACAACGAACGACGACGACGACGACGACGACTCCTGTCGACTACGCCGATAACTGACAACAGCAAAGACCAGCGACGATAACGGAGAAGAGTGACAACGACGACTTGAGACGACGACGCCGACGTGGGACGACCACGACGTGAGACGACGAAGAGTCACGACGACGATGTCGGCGACAAGCGCTGCCGACGACAGGGCCGAATGACGACGACGATGATGACGATGATGGCGACGACGAGGAACAATAACAACGACAGAAACCACAGCGATGGAGACGGCGACGAAGACAGACATAGTGTCTCCCCTCCGCCTCGTCGCCCCTCGTCTGACAACCTCGCCTTCTCCTGCGCCCACCCTTTCCTACCTCCTTCACATATGACCCAGAAAAACGCGAGCGGCACAGTTCCCCAGTGCTTTCCAACAGGGACCTGGATCCACGACTGCCCGAAAGCAGACAGGACAGGAAGCGAAGGAAAAAAAAAGCATGCAGACCCCAGTGAAAAGGATAATGACGAGGAAAATAAACAAACTCCGACAGTAGGATCTCGCATGCAAATCCCCCACGCGAGTGCAGAAGTAAACCTCATTGCCGTCCTTGTGAATGTAAAGGCTCGTTTCCCATTTCCTCATCGCTTTTCTCGCTTTCACCTTGGCGGATTTCATGGTCCCGCCCCCTGTTGAGCCTCCTCATCCTCCTTTTCCTCGTCCTCCCCATCCGCCTCCTCCCCCGCCCATTTCACAAGGGCACACAATTCATTGTTTTTTGGTGCCGTTGCCGCCACAGCTGGCACGGGCGTGTTCCTGATGGCCAAATCGCGAAACAGCTGGGGCATCATCGTGGGCGACGCCGTAAGGACCACCCCATGAGCAACTGGGGCGCGGGAGCAAGCCGCTGGGACATCCCCGCAGGTCTCGAGCTAGTCGCGGCCGCGCTCAGGCGAGAGGCAACGCGAAACCCAGCTCAGCCGCGAGCTGCTCCGCCTCAGCCCTGGAAAAACCCGCTTTGATGTCGATTTCCCTGAGCACCTTGCGCACGGAACCCGGCGACCCGCGTTCCAGGAACGCTCGCGTGGACGGCCGCGAGATCAGCACGTTCCGCATGCAATTCCTCGCTATGAACTCACAGACGAGGCTCCGGCTCGAGACTTCCGCCATATTCAAGCTTCAAGAGGCCAGAAATGGCGACACTTCGTTACAGGGTTCAGATGACCCGTTCGGACTGGTAACACTAGCTGCGGTCACCATAAAGACTGGGTTCCAGCCTGAGACTTCCTCGCTGTTCAATCACAGACGATGTTCCCGCCAAAGACTCTCTCGGCACTCAAGGTTTTAGAGGCCAAGAAATAAC